TTATAAAAGTAATAGTAAAATGGCGCTATAATGAGGTTTTACAGTGTCTTATCGGTAGGCAATGTCATATTTTATTATTTACAACCAAATAACATAACAGATTCAAACCAAAGTTAAATTAATGATAAAAAAAAATTAAACTTTATCTATTATTTTGCAAAGAAATTGTTGGTTGAAAAGGATAACGCTTTTTGCCTGGTCGATATTTTAGTACTGTTGATCAACGTCGTATGTTATATTATCTGTATATACTTCCGTACGTCTAATCACCTGTTAAGTTTCGCGCCACTTTGAGTATCTTTTGTACACTTTGTGACTAGACCAATGTCATTATATATGTAAAATACATGACCTAAACTCAGTCTTGATATTTACTCGTATCATTGTTAAAATCACCTTTAAAATACATTTACATTTGGTTAAATTGTATATATACATATTGTAAAGAGTTTTGATACAAACAAATTTATGTTTTAATCGTATACAAATGAAATAGACGAATAATTGGCAAGTACAAAATAAAAACCTCAGGTTATTTATAGTTGTAAATTGGCCATGTTTAGATAAAATTAAGGTTTTAATTCGATTTCAAGTGCTTATACAAATTTTTACTTTAAATTTCACACAATACATCATTAAGTATAACTACTAATGTAGTTTACATTGTTCAGAATTGAATTTGTAATAATAAACATAAACGTGAAAAAGAAATCAGTTTGCAATCAAATGTTATTAGCTTAACTTAACCAACTATCGTTACATTTCTCATACAATACTAAGTTAAACCTAACAATAAAATACTACATGACGTTTGATTGACTAGTTTGACATAATCGTGCCATTTTAATAAGTTTTTAGGGGCGGCTCAAGACAACGAAAAGTTGAAGAGTGTTGCCCATGATGAAGTACTGTGCAAATCATTCACAATCTACAGATCTCCACGCAATGTCACACGATAAGCGCTTACGAAAATATGAGAAACCACAAGAAAGCGCAAATACAATTATTGCTTTATAGGTTATAAATTTACGATTAGAGGCTGACAAAAAGATAAAACAGCTTACTTGCTAATTGATATGAATACATTTATGTAATATTTAAAACAACGCGCAAGTGTAATTTCATTGTAAACATCATTGAAAATTCAGGCATAAAGTCTATTACAGGAATAGACAAAGACGCACACGCGTAAAGTTTTTTAGGCTTTGCCAATAAATAGAAACGTTCTATGTTCTCAACAACACAAAAACCGAAACACACTCAACGCTAAGTGCAAATCGTTTTCAGTTAAGTTCCTGAAAAACCTGATAATTTTGTACGTACACAACGCACATTTATACGCTTTACCTATATAAACTTGAGTTAACCTTATTATTGCTTCAGCATCATCCGGAAGAATTGTTAGAATTTTCGTTACTATTTTCTAATTACTAAAGAAATTAAAAAAGTCACACCTTCACATGGTAAACACGCCAATTATACATATAATTTAATTCGAAATATATCAATAGAACAATCTTCTTTTGAAAATACGAAATGAAAAAAGTTCTAAGACCGTTGTCTAAATTAGAGAAAAATAAATATAGTTTGTCCAAATTATTTGTGAACTGAGCGGAGGCACTGGTCATAAATAAAAAAAAATACATTTTTCCTCAAACAAAATATAATCTTACTTTGGTCATTTCACCAATAACATGGTCAAACTATTATTAAAAAGTTTTTTTTTATCAATCAGTGCCAAGTTAATATTCAAAATTCAAAGTATAGTTTAAAAATAGTTGTAATGGGTCTAAGGCGTCGCCCGCTCACACGACGGGCGTTAGGTGTAGGTTTATACAATTATAATACTTCGAACCACTCGCAATTTTAATACTAATATAAATATTTATATAAATATAAGTTTAGACACGACTTAGTTAAAGACTACTCGTTAGAGATACATTTATAAAAACACCTATAAGGCAGATCCTTTAAGGAGGATGGACTGCATTGGAAAAACGAACCGTTTATTAAAAAAATATCACTTTCATTTGTTAGAACCATTTGATAAGGAGAAATTCCAGATAAACAAAATTATTTATGCCACTCATGGGTATATTTGCTGACTGGTTAATAATATCGAATGAAAAAGTCTGAAAAACATAATGAAAATCACGATCGATCGTATCATTTTACCAAAGCAGTCACTTTATAACTACAGATTAAAAACACGAGAGATCACATTTTTTTTAATTATAAAAAGAGTAACTTACATTAATTAGCGCCAAAGGCGCGTCGAATAGAAAAACGCGTTGAGATTGCTTGTTATTATTTAGAATATTGATACATGTTTAAACCTACGATAATAATTGCGTCTGTTTACTCTTTGCTATTTTGGAATCTTGTTGACTGAATCGAAACTGTTGACAATTTCTCTTACAACTTACCACCCATGATGCCAGTAAACATTCTTTAAAAAGATAATATCAATATTTTGCCTATTGCAATCGATCTTGCAAAAATCGAAAAATAGAACAGTGATTGACTATTTCTTTGAGAGTACTATAAAAGAAAACGCTCTTTTTAAAAAGGAATGGAACGGTTAAAATTTTTATGATGTTTGTTTTTATTGTAACTGCAGATAGCGCATCTATTAGAACTCTGAAAATGTTTTACTATGAAATATATTTTATATTTATGCTATTATAGACGAGCCATTGTTAATAATTTTTACGTTTAAGGCAAATTCTATTTGTAAAATATTATTTCACTGCTGTTTTAATAAGTATGTGCACTAATTAAAACAGAAATAATTATTTAATATGAAACCTCTAATATTGCATTTCATAACTGTACAGATAATATCAAATTATTCTATCGTCGCTATAATATTAATACATTCATATAAATAGTCAGCAGCAAACATGCTTTTTTTCATTTGAAACTGGGTGTTAATGAAATATTATGAAAATAGAGTACTTTTTTTCGGTTCATGGTTTCGTTCAACGTTAGTGACCAGTTTGAATGGTAAAATAACTAAAAGAGATATTTATATTCTGTGGCACCTAACCTATATTGTTGGTTTTGCTTTTGTGCGAAAATGCTGAATGTCAAGTTACATCACTCTAATATCTATTGATATTAAATTATGCCAAAAATGTCAGCATTCGTCGAAGATACATGTTATCTATTTTTCTAAATTTTTGATGATTCTACAGAGTATCGTTACACATAATATCTGATAATATTAGGACTAATTTAATACTGTGCATTTATATTGTGTATTCAGGTGCAATATTTATTAATGAAAAGAAATACTAGGTTACTTTTATTTTGCTACATGGAAATAATGGAGAGAGATATTGTTACTGTTCTTTAATTCTATCTTTCATTTTAATGGTGCATCTATGTCTTTTAATATTTCTGTATTAATTATTTGAATCTGTAAATTTTGTGACGACGGGAACTGTCAAATTAACTGTACACTGTTCATAATATCTTCAGTAATAGAAGACGGGGTTATTAAATCTATTAATTCGATGGGAAATGAGTTTTATAATATAACATCGTAGTTTCATAAGGAATAGAAATAGGTTTTTGTGAAAAATGTAAAATATCGCTAATAAATTCGCAATTCTGTTCCCTTTTCAATTCAAAGTTCTTTTTTCAAATGGCGATATCGAACAGACAATGATAACGATGACAATGTGGCTATCAAGAAAGAAATACGAAAGAATGTCTACTAAACTACTAACAACTTTTAAAAAGTACAAACAAGATAAACGCTATTATTTTAAGTTATAACATTTAAAAAGTCAATAACGAACCTCCATTAACGTTGAAATGATTATTTTTATTAATAATCAATATAGTTAGTAGATTAATCGCTAAAAGATTACGTTTGTGACTAGACAAATAATTAAAAAAAAAATATAAAATGCAGTTAGCCACGTAGAAAGTTTACATTGAAAGAAACGACGAATGATTTTCGTTTAAACGAAACAATATTTTTATAAACAATATAAAATTTAGGAAGTGAAATAATTTCTAAACGTTTCGTTTGTCATAGAGGAACATAGTTAAGAAGAGGTAGAGAATTCGATGTAAAATTTGTTACAGTTAAATATCCTTGAGCGTTAAGAGATTCCTATAAGGATAATATTCAGACTGAAGGTTTTTATTAAGATTAAGTTTACAACAAAATAATAACTGTATATAATATATATGCTGTAATGAAATCGGAAACGGAAAAATATTTCAATTGTTTAACTCGGTGGGAGCTTAAACAAAAATCCCTCTCATGTCTGCTTTACTCATTGAACAAACATTACACTGTTTTGTCGCGGAGAGAGACAGATGTACGGCGACATTAACTTCAATTCTTTGTTCGTATATATGAAAGGAAAGTAATAAAAAGTAGTATTCAGTTACATTCGGATATCGATATACAAGATCCATACACTGATAGAGGCATTATAATCTCGCTGATTGTACTGGTGGATTAAAGAGAAGATTGACGTTGCTAGGGTCGCTAGGGTAGGTCAGTCCAATTTCTAAAAGTTACTGATCGACAAGGGCCCCTGAAGAGATTTCGGAGATTTTATATCTATTCAAGATATAAAATCTCCGAAACAAATGTTCCAATAACTTCTTAAAAATTCTTTTTTTTTCCTATAAGCTCACCAATACCCAAGTAGCGTCCATGAGGAGATACGTCTGAGGCGGATCACTACATTATACTCCTAGCGATACTCTTGCAAGTCTCTGAACGAACTAAATCTCTGTTAAAAACAAGGACCTGTATCGGTCTTTCTACGTCTTCTCTCTGTTTAAGAGATGGAGAATGAGTGAGAAGAGAATGTAAGACTCTTTAAGAAATTCAGCGACGCCTATATCTGTATCTCTTCGCGAACGCCGTGTGTACACCTGTCTCTTTCTCAGTTCAGTGCGAAAGGGACGCACCTATCAGTCTCCGCGCCGCCCTAGAGGCCGCCCCCCTCGGAGCGGCCGCGGCGGCGTCACTGCAGCTCCTTGACCGCTTGCAGTATTCGCTTCACGTGGCCCACCTTGGTGACTCCTAGGTCGCGAAGGTCGCGGCGGGCGAGCGTCAGCAGCTCGCGGCCGGTGACGTCATGGCGTGCGAACGCCTCCGCGTACTCGGCGAGCTGCAGCGTGCCGAGCCACGCCTGCACCTCGGCCACGCCCCACGCGCGCACATTTAGCCCGCCCTGCGACGTGCCGCTGCCCTCGGACACGCTGCGGCGGCCGCGCAGCCAGCGCGACGCGCGCCGCGGCACCTGCGCGCCACAGGACCATAGCGATTGCCGAGAATACCCAAGGACATCCGAACGTGTTGGGGTGAACTGTGCTAGGGGCACGCGATGCTTCGGCTGTTGTCCGTCCGGCTCGGTACCACGACCTCACAGAAGACCGGCGTAAAGTAGAAGTGTTGCACTTCTGCGTTTCGTCCGGCGAGTGAGGTAGCCAGGGCCCACTTTATTTAACGGTGTTGCTAATGTGAATGGGCAGCGGCTATTACTATACATCAGGTGAACTGCCAGCTCGTTCGCCACTTTTTCACAGTAAAAAAATGTCTATCGCCAGACGATAGCCGAGACCGCTCGTGGACATGAAACCACCAAAGCGACTTTCGTTGTTCGAAAAAAAAACACTGCGGTACAATGTCTATCACCCATCGATAGCTGAGTCCGCTCGTGGATATAAGACCAGCAAGGTGTCTTTAGATGTTTGAAGAAAACAGCGTGGAATAAACGACCACGGAATGAAAGCCGACCATAAATCTAAGGCGATGAATATTAATGAAAAAAAGCAAACCTGAACGATGTAAGCATGTTAAAATAGTGGAAGAAATATTTATCACAGATGATAACGGTGGTAATGACATGGTTGGTAAGATCATTGGATGATTAACACCACGCGAGGCAAATTTGCTTTCCTCACCAAACGAACTTTGGGTAAAATCAAATATGCATATTATTTTCGATTTTAAAACTCATATAATGGAGATAGGGCACAATGAAAAGCCAGTTGCTGTTATGGATGGGCGAAGTGGGGTAGAATAAGTAGGTGTAGTGGGCTACAATAAGGTATTTGAATGGTACCTCGTCAGCGTGAAGGTACGCAAGGCCGTCGCGTGTATCGATTCGGGCCAGATGTGCGCGCACGCTTCCAGCTGCCCCCGCCCCCGCGCACCCACTCTCCACCAGCTCATAGCAACTCTCAACCTGTCGTATAGGAACCAGATCTTAATCCCTCATCCCTTTGAGAACACCATACTCGCCACGAAAACAATAGATTAACATCCATATATTGTGACTATATTACCGAGAGACGTAAGCGTAATGCATTCTTCACGTCTATTTTGACCATAAATAGATAAGAGTATTTAATTCCATAGATGGTTCCACTATGTTTATTGAGTCCGAAATCGTGACAAGCGACATGCGAATGAGAGACAACGATTTTGTCATTCACACTTCTTTTTTTATTTGCTTAAGACTGAATATGGTTTACTTAGTCAGTAGTATAAAGTCAAATGGTCACAACCCATTTTCGTATTCCCTTTATTATTAATTGCGTAATGACATTGAATTACTTCTATGCCAGTACAATTGACTGTATCTGATGGTAAGCGGCGTTGACGAAGTAGATAAACGCATCAGTTGAGCTGATACTATGTTAAGATGATACTAGTAGCCCTCAGCACTGTCTAAATGGGGTAGGACCACGCAACAGTCTTCACTGTTGCACGAATAGGTAGGTTAGTCCGGGTAAGTACCACGACCTCATAGAAAACCGACGTGAATTGGAAGTGTTATACTTTCGCCTTTCACCGGGTGAGTGCGGTAGCCGGGGCCCACTTTATTAAAATGTCAACACATTTGCAACCCTAAGGGTTGTGCATAGTCATTGCAGCGGTATCCCTTAACATCAAGTGAATCACCAGCTCCCTTGCCACCTTCTCACACATAAAAAAAAAGCACTAGCTTACAACTTCACTTCATCTGCGATTAGTCAGAAAGATGAGGATTGCCTATCAGGTCACAATCCAAGGAAGCAAAGTAATGGTAACCCAAGGCCACGAACGCTAAAAAGAGTCTTACCAGGGCCGCGAGAAGGCGACGCAGCTGAGGCGGCGGCAGTAGGCGCCCCTCCGCATCCTGTAAGGCGTCCGCCCTAGCGGCCGCCCGCCTAGCTGCGCTCAAGGCGCTCCCGCCCGCCCCCGCCTCGCTGATACACGACAGCTTTACCTATTCCAGGGCAATACTCAATCATACACATCCTCCTGTCCTTATCCCACCTAGGTGGGGTCAAAAATTAAAATCTGTTCTCCAAACGTCCACTCAGAAGTAACATTTCCTTGGCCCAGCATGTGATAAAAATGAAGGGTATTAAATGTAAGAGCACTCACGTGTTTCACTAGTGTGTTGACGTCATCCAGTAACGCCAAAAGCTGAGCTGCCTCTGAAGCTGACAAAGATGTGCTGGCCTGGGCCTTCTGCTGTTGTTTCTCATCCCATGCTCTGTTTAAAATTTCAATCATTTACCTCACAATATTCTGTAACTCTACCGGCTCTATTATTTACCGCACCTTCTGTTAGCGATGCTTGTATAATTTTTATGATAATCATTTATCAAATGATCAATGCGGGTTGTGCAGTATTTGTTAAGAAATCTGACTAAGGTGTCCATTGGCACATAATAGACATAACACTAAGAACGATTGAACTAGTGGAAAGTCGAAAGTTGATGTGGGTGAGGTCATTTCAAACGTAGGCGCGCGAAACGTACGACTGAATTAATGGACATGATGGAGCAAAGTATTTGAGGTTGACCTCTGTCGCTTGCGACTGCATCTTTGCTCAGTTTCGTGAACGACGCGCGATCGATTCAACGAATGTACGAATACGTTTAGTAAGTAAGTAGTAAGCAACTGTGCATAGTACTTGTGCGTACTTATTCAATGAACGAAGTAATGAAACAAATAAGCTGCATATCGAAGGGTGTACCGTACCTTAGGCTCGTCTCTAAAGCGCGCGACCGGACATAGCATCTGAGCGCGGTTCTTGTGTATGATGCGAACGCACCCTGGCGGCTGCAGCCAGGCCTCGCCGTCCACCTGCACCGGTACGCACTCCTCGCCTAGTATGTTGATCTGGACGGCGCGGCACTGAGCGATGCGATGCTTCTGCAGGTTGATGAGGCGCGACGCCGCCATCTGGGCGGAGCCGAACACTGCTACCACCTGCGTAAAGTACTTATGTTTATTTGGAAAAATGCCTGCCACTTCCTAGAACATTCTCCTTAGCAATCAGCCAAGTATCATAGACGCTATGAGACGCTAGCAGTATCAAGGTGGCAGGGCGCGCATAATGCTACGGGCCCCCAGCCTGATGGTTACCCGGCACAAGAGAGGAGAGGGGTTTTGAGCTATTGGCATAAAATATTATTTTACGAAAATTGTTAAGTAAACCTAATGGCCAGATATAATACTTCGTTAGACAAAAAATACGAAATGAGCTCATTTCTGTTCTCGTTCTAAAAGTAGAAAATGCATGCATAAATTAAATAAAGGCTTCACCATTTTATCCAATCATATTCGATACGACTCAAGGTATTTCAAAAAGAGATGTGCTTTTGTGAATTTTTATGTTATTATAATAAAAAACTAACCAAATTGTTTAATCAATAAATGACACAAAATATATCTCTAAATAAGGTGTTGAGGACAAGGATATGGTGCTAACACAATGATAAGCCCTCATGGTAGAATTCAAAATCTCATAAAAGATATCGAACCTAGTTCGGTATTTATTCACTTTGCTGCTCACAACTTAAATCTAGTTCTTAATGATACAAAGTGCAAGTAAGAGAGGTTACATGAACCATTTTTTGAAAAAATTAACAAAAATTTTGGCAGGGTGTCAAAAGACGGAATATATTATTATCAAGTTTTATATGGAATAAAGTGAGTCTTTAATTTTCAAAAACCAAGTTCAAAATAGTTAAAAGAATAACCGAAATCCTCACCTCTAATATTCTGTCATCGAAGGACGGTGCAAGGAAGATGTCATCTGCCCGTGTACCACCCCAGAAGTTGGTGCCGCCCATGAACGACGGGATGTTCAGCACCACGATGCCCTGCAGCTCCGGCAGCGGTATTCTCTGCCCATCGCACTCAAGCTGAACGCGCTGCCCTAGATGTCTGAAAATGCGTTCAGTCAGGCAACCATGCACCCACGCAATGATGCTGCAATCATCAAGGGTATGCATTCAAGCACTGACGCAATTTTATAAGACTGGTGTAGATGATTTAGCTGTTTTCCTTCTGTGGTAGGGCCTCGCAACAGCCTTATCTGTAGCACGAATTGACAGGTCCGTCCGGGTAAATACCACGGTCTTACAGAAGACCAGCGTGATGTGGAAGTGCTATACTTCTGGGTTTCATCTGGTGAGTGAGGTAGCCGGGGCCCACTTTATTGTAAGGTGGCAAAGCATCTGCAATCCTACGGGTGTTGCAAATGCCAATGGGCGGCGGTTATCACTTAACGTCATGTGAACCGTAAGCTTGCTTGCGACCTTCTCACGTTAGAAAAAATAATAGCATTTGGCACCAAAATTAAACCTAGACACATAAAAAAAACATAGACTGTTAAATTATGGTCACGAATATTCAAGCATGTAGATATGTACCGTTAGATATTACTTAAAACAGCAAGCATATTAAAATAACTGATATTTGTGGAAACATAATGTAGGTCACGTATTAGAACGTCAGTCAAAGCGTTTTATCATCGTCACTTTTGACGCTTGGATCGTACCCATTTCCGGAAGCGTATCGCGAAAAAATGATTTATGTAGGCCAAATTTGTTTTCATAAGTTGTATGCAATATGGCATTATAGTAGCAAAACATAATTCATGGAATGTGAAATGTCGAATCTGATTTTATGGGCTTCTTTAGTGCATGAATTCTTTTGGTTGTTTTATTTTTTTTGTCAGTCTGCTTCATTTATGCTTGGGCAAGTTCGTATTGCTGCTATACATTTTACTACTAGGCGCGCGTCATAACTGGATAATTTTATAGGGTGATTGACCGTCTACAACTCACCTGTAAGTTCTGTTCACCCATTCCTTGGACCCTAGCACGCCGTACCACATGTAATTCCTTGCTCGCGATCTGCACTTCTCCGGGTGCTCCTCCCTCTTATTGTGGAAGTCGAGGGTTATCTTTGCGTCGATGCCGATGCCGAAGTAGTTGTTCATTACCGCCCGTTCGTAGAAGCCCTCTAGGAGCGTGTCGTCGGGGTCCATTAGGGGACTGACGGCGGCGCAAAGCGCGTCGGCATTAGCTAGTAAACACTGGCTGATGAACCCCTGAGCGACGTGTGGCCAAGCGGGAAGCTGTACCAGTGGGTTGATGATTGGCAGCTTCCTCGCCCGCTCGCTTGTATCGGATCTAGAGGAACCCATTCCTCCCACGACGCCACTGTCCCCCCATATCGATGACACCGACGTGGACAATCTGCTTTTAGATAAATTTAATGTGAATTTATTGAAAATACCTTACTTCTTCAATTTAGGCATTGGTTGAACAGTTGACTAGTTGCCAGCTGGATAGGTAAACTTCGGCGGTAAGTAAATAAATATGTAAACGTATAAATAAGGCAAATTCTAAACCACAAATTACATGGACCTATTTATTCCTTGGTTAAATGCGGGCGTTACACATACTTAGATGACATTATATTTTTATGCATTAGGCATAATAATGACTTTTTATTTTAATTTATTGGACACTTTACACCGCCCAGTTATGCCCATTTGATATAATGCTAATCATTGTTAACTAACGCGATAATCAGAAAAGTTACTTACTTGTCCGGCTCCCCGGGCTTGAAGAGACTTCCGCACGAGATCCTCCTGGTTGCGGCCGGTGAGCAGCTGAGGAACTTCCCGTATTCACTATCCGTGGAACCCAGCAGTTTTGGATTGTCTGACTGCCGCCTCTCCCTACCATTCGCTAGGCTTGGTTCCGGTGAGTGGACGCTTAGCGTGTCGGTTCCCTGGTCGAAAATGTCACTAAGTACGGAGGCCATTCGGCTTCCGTTTGCCTTGAGGCTCTTCCGTTCTTCGCTGTGTGATGGAGATGGTGGCTCCACCACCACGCTGACTTGGGGAAACATCGGAACTTGGTTTTTCGGAACCGTATCCTCATTCAGCAGGGTACTCGGTTTCGGCGGAGTCCGTACCGGTGATCCGTCCTTTGAGGCGTGTTCTTCTGTTGTTTTAGGCAGAAGATGCTTGGTGGCAGAGTCGTCTCCCACGCGTTTCTTCACGCTTTTCCTTAACTGCTTTCGAAAAGACTTGCGAGCGATGTCGCTGCCCTCCTCGAATTGAGCTAAGCTGCAATACTTGATCTGCTCATCAGCTTTCGGCGCGTTCTCTATGTAGAATACTCTGTTCTCGAAGCCAAATTTCTCTACTTCGGCCTCCTTGCGTTTTTTCATTTTCGATAGATGCTTCAATTTGCTTTCGGTATTCTTCTCTAAGCTGGGGTTTCTGCTATCCATTGGTATATCGGAAACAGTGTCCGACGTAAACAGGGTCGTGTCGTCGGTGTATGTCTCGTTGTCACCACTCTTGCCCATCATGGCGAGTAGCACTTCTTGGCCGAGCATCGAGCTTATGTCGTCCATGATCGATTCACCGTGTATCGTCTCTGAATTGACGTAAGTTGTCTCGGAGGCCTCCGGGGAGTCAATATGCCCAATGCCACCACCCTCGTCAAGGTCCTCGGGCTTCGTGTCGATGATTTCGGACATGAGGCTGAAGTCCTCGCTGATATTGGACCCTTCGGAGCTGGTTGCATCCACCTCCAAGTCAACGCTGGAGAGTTTCCTTTCGGGCGTGCATTCACCGCTTGCGGGCGTGACCCTCTCGCTCAGGTCCCGGAAATGCACATCGTCGGTATACGGTTTGTCGATATCTATAATTGTAAGTTGGTCTGATTCGTAGGTCTCTCCGTGCATCATAGAATCTCTCTTGTCACTGTCATCCGATATAATGAGGTTCGGTATCGTGAGGCTGCTGCTATTGTAGGTGCCGCGATCCGTGCCGGTATCCGGCCTGAAAAGGTTCCTACAAGAGCTAGTGTCGCATGATGACAAATTGGAAAGCGAGAGGCGATCCTGCGGCGACGCCAAGTTGCACTTGCCCCGATCTGGCTTTTCTACATCTAGAGTTTGGTCACTCGGTTGGGAATTTATCAATTTAGCTATGTCTTCATCTACGTCTGGAATGCTGTTGATATAAATGTTTATTTTATTTATAGGCACACCTGATTTATAGAAATTGTGGAATGCATTATTTAATCTTACTGTTCTGGCTGCAGTGACGAGGCAGAGACCGCGGAGGCAGCAGATGAGCGGCGACTGTCAGCGAAAGCGCGTGGGACAGGCAGCGTGTCGGTGACATCACTCGCTCTTGATGCCTCAACCACAGTGCCACGCCCCCCTTCCGCTGCCCCTCCCTCACAACCCTCAACCGATATTTCGGCCCAACCACCCGCTCCCTGTTGCGTCACCTGCCATCCATACAGACAAATTTGGCTTCTGCTCTGAGATGTAAAATAAAACAAATCTAGAAACAAGGATGATATACTAAGAGATGTCATCCATGTTTATCAATCTCAAATGCAAACGTTGCGGTGACAGTAGCTTTTTTACAAAATTGGGGATAAAGACAATAAATTTAATTGAAGGTTTATTATTTAAATAACTTAATCAGGATTATAGGTAAATATCAAGAAGTTGTAATTGGTTGCCATGGAGTCGGTGTCGCATTTAGGTCTTGCGCAATGTAAAAACTCACCCTCACCATCTTTTCCAAACAGTCCAAAAGAAGTATAGGTTCAAAAGTAAATAATGGAGGAGATTCATGATTTATACGGCGTTGGGAATGACGACAAAGTATGGTCTGAACGTGCCTGCGGGTAGAGATGAGCCAAAGTGCGCACGAGGGTCCGCAGCGCCCTCCGCACGCTGTCCGCCCGCCCGGCCAACGAGCAACTGCGCGCCGCCCAGTTCATCTGCTCCTGCCGCGAACGCCCAGAAATTATCTCAGTGCCGCAGCGGCTGAACGGATTTGAATGGAATTCGAAATAGAATTTTTGGACTTTGATCTCTCTGCTGGATGGAATATTGAATAATTTAATAATCCAATAGAGGCCGTTATCAGCTTACTGATAGCAAATAAGATAGCATTAACGTCCACTCAATCCTGATAGAGATGGGATAAGTTAGATCTAATATTTTATTTCCTGCCGTGTCGTCTGCAAAACTATAGAGTAGGTTTTATAAAGAAGATGGTTTAAATCAGTATAACATTAGGCTCAGCTACGGAATATACATATATATATATATATATATATATATATATATATAAAATAATGTTATGTCTATGGTTTTACCTTTTCAGTCTTTTCGATGCTGCCCTTCTCGGCAACGTTTTGTGCTTCGGGCTCACTGTCGCTCGTTGTTGTCTCCGCGGGCTCCCATGACCTGTAGAGAACTTTGTACATTTATTTGACATAAGTATTATGTATTTTAGACGTAAGCTTGTTATGGTCTAGCGTTTGTTTGTGCAGTTTGTGGATTATTAGGTAGTCTGAAGCATTTATCGATACCAAAATCCAATTACGTGATCTGTGGCAACAGCGTTGCTCAGTTTCCTTTGTCCCAAACACGGTCTTTTATGAAGTTCTTATATCTACCGACTTTAAATTATGATTTTAATATAATCTGTACTGGGATCACTTTTTGTGAATCGCAAAAATATATTTACAGCGAATTTCGGGTCTTGAACATCTTGTATATGAACATTTATTTAAATTATAACCTTTATAAAGTTCCACTGATTAAAGTTTAGACGAAACAGAGTGTAACATTTTTCAAGATTAAGGCAACCGGGGAAGCTGCATAAGGCTTATCAGGTGTTGGGAATGTGCAAGATGTTTGGGAGACTATTTACTGGGTCCTATGTGCTTCCTATTCCTACTACTACACTATTTTGTGACAGCTGACCTGCACAGCGTACTGTCGTGTGTCGGACTGCTGGCGTCACGGGCGGCCATAGACAAAAGTTTATATTTTCAATAATTATACAGTAATTTTTAATATAGTGAAGACGTAGACGGCAAAGCTTTCTCGGTGGATATATATTCTAAAAAAAGATACTCTCAGTCCCCGTTGTGAATTGGCAGTGCTTGCAAATCCTCGAATACTTTTTTTTATTTCACCGTCCCGCGGAGATCTCGAAGTTTTTTTTTTCATAGCACGAATTGTGAAAAACACGGGGAATTTATTTTCATCAATCTAAATACATAATTAATCGAAAGACTAAAGCATACCCCAATTAATATTATTCCATATCCATATGACCGTTACTAATATCGATATATTGCTTAATACTGGCACAATCGATAAATACTGGCACATTTCGACAGGGCTTTGAAGTGTCGAAAGCGATGACTATAGATTGTTATCGATATGCGACCGCGGACCGCTATCGATATCGATACGTCACCTGCAGCGCGCGTGGTCGTGCGCTAGATGCGTCCTCGCGTGTAGCAGAAGCGAGAGCGCTCTGCGCAGCCGGTGCGCCGCCCGCGCCGCGCCCCCTCCCGCCCTCTCGCCCGCCGCCGCAAGCCGGCCGCAGCCGGCGCGCAGCGACGAGCTCGCCGCGCCGCTAACCTCGCCCGCCTACGCGCAACAAGCTCAGCGATGACAATACCCTGGACTATACGCTGACAGACGTTACGCCTTGTTCACGTGTCACGCGTGCTTCGCTAATTCTTAAAATAAAGACGTCATTCCGAATGAGACATGTAAAACATTTTAAGTCACAGTAAACAATACCGATTTGAAATATCACATTAGAGTTTGAGGAGTTTCCTGATGATTATTTATTCACTGTGTAATTGACTGTATTAGGGTTAATCAAAATCAAAATCAAAATCAAAATATATTTATTCAAATAGACGCTTGCGCGCTCTTATGAATCGTCAAATTTTACATCAAAGATTATGTGTATAGGTTCGTAAGGTACCACCGGTTCGGAAAGCGGTTTCTGTTGAGAAGAGACCGGCAAGAAACTCAACAGTTGCTCTTTTTCAAAAATATCAGGGTACAATATAATATACAGGTATAATAGTCTTATTCTAGCCTACGTGAGTATCAACAGTATTAACTCCACACATTTGGCGTCGTCGAGATATTCCGAAATGGTATAATATGCTTTAATCATCAGTTGATTTTTAATTTTACATTTAAATTGGTCAAGCGGCAGACTTAATATCGACTGTGGGATTTTATTATACATGCGTACACTTTGTCCCATGAACGACTTATTTACTTTTTGTAGACGAAACAATGGCGTAGTAAGTTTGTCCTTATTTCTAGTGTTATTTTATTTATGTCTGTCACTATTCTTTAGGTAATAATTAAGGTTATGACGTATATACAAAACATTACAATAAATGTATTGAGAAGCAACAGTGAGTATATTAACCTCTTTGAAAAGATCTCTGAGTGAATTCCGGGCTCCGATATTGTAGATTGCTCGGACAGCTCTTTTTTGAAGAATAAATATAGTATTTATATCTGATGCACTACCCCACAACAAAATGCCGTACGACAAGATGCTGTGAAAATAACTAAAGTAAACAAGTCTGGCAGTGTCGATGTCTGTTAGCTGCCTAACCCTTCTAATCGCAAAAACCGCGGAGCTCAGCCTATTCGCAAGAGATGATATATGGGGACTCCACTGGAGCTTTGAATCTACTGTAATTCCCAGAAATACAGCAGACTCAACTGGATTAATGGGTACGTTATTTAATATTAAACTAAAACTTTTCCTTCTTATACTGGGAAGGGTAAAAAGAATACATCTGGTTTTTTTTGCATTAATACCATATTATTAATAGTAAACCAGTGGAGGATATGTGAAAGCGCACTATTCACGTCGTCATAATTTAATACGTTTCGGTCAACTTTAAAAATAAGCGATGTATCGTCAGCAAACAGTACAACACATCACAACCCACTGGCATAAAAGGGGAGATAATTAATATATACTAAAAATAATAATGGGCCCAAGATTGATCCTTGTGGGACTCCCATTTTCATCTGGGACCCAGTGGAATTAACATCATTTATAGATACTTTTTGAATTCTATTACTAAGGTAAGAGGCAATGAGATTGAGGGCGATCCCACGAATGCCATAATATTCTAGCTTTTGAAGAATAGTTTTATGGTCTACGCAGTCGAAGGCTTTTGAAAGGTCACAAAAGACACCTATTGCATCTTGTGACCTTTCCCAGGCGTTATAAATATGTTTGACAAGTGCGACGCCCGCATCTGTTGTCGATCTGCCTTTAGTGAATCCATATTGCTCATCGTGAAAGATTTTGTTCACATTAAAATGAACTAAAAGTTGATTTAATATTAGCTTTTCAAAAACTTTACTAAGAGATGGCAATATGGAAATAGGTCTATAGTTGCCTGGATCATTTTTATCACCACTTTTGTAGACAGGTATTATCTTACTAAATTTCATAAGATCTGGAAATATTCCAGAATCTATGCAGTTGTTAAAAATAGAAGCCAAATGTGGTGCAATATATGGCATTATTGTGCTCATTAATTTTATGGACATACCCCATTAATCCTCTGTATTTTTAAGATTAATAGAATTCAAAACTTTTATAATACAACAGAAAACCAGTGCCGTGGTATTGTTTGCCAGGGCAATATACTGAGCGGAGACCTTTTTGGTGCATACATTTTTACAATTATAATGTTATTTTTTTTTTTCCTGTAATGTAATGCGCCGAATAAATATTTCTTCTTTCTTCTTCTTTCTTTCTTTCTTTCTATAATATCATAAGTATCTACGTGATTAAATTTAAATGTGTGTAGGCAAGGGGTAACATTATTTCTTAAAACATTAATTGCGTCTGCGGGAGATGATTTTAATGTACGTGTGACATTAACCGCAATGTCTGAAAAATAGCTTTCGAAACTACTCGCAATTTCGTTATCTGATATTATGGGAGTATTACCTATAAAACTAGTTTTATAGGTTCAATGAATATCTTGGTTCTTCCAGATATACGGGTAATGATGTCCCATGTGGCTTTAGTTCTATTGTTTGAATTTATTATGCTATTTCTTATATAAATAGATTTTGCCTGAATACAGACTTTTTTAAATATTTTTGAAAATGTTTGTACACGTTTAAGGAAGTTAGGATCGTGATTCCACTGCCTCATACTATATAATTCATACAATGAATCCCTACTTTTGTATATACCCACTGTTGCCCAGTCACTAAATTTTAATTTTGAATTCTTAGCAATTGTGCGCGATTTAAAAGTATCATTATAAGAAGATATGAGAAAGTCAACCATTGATCTATAAGAGTCATTAGGGTTATTGACTCCTATATCTTTATTTAACATATGATGTGCCACTTTATCTCTAAAAGCATTTATTCTATTAGTAGTGACTGGTCTACACTTGATCTTAAGTTTGCTTGTATTAGCTTTTTCATTTATTGAAAATTTTAGCCCAAAGTGATCCGAGCTCAGATGATTTATAACATATTTATCATATACATCACTGTGACAGAATACATTATCTATACATGAGGAGGATAAGTTAGTAACACGAGTTGGTTCATGAAAAAGATTTTTAAGTTCAAATGAGTTTAAATAAATTTAAAAGTCGTTTACTGAGTTGTGTTACTTGTAATAAATCCACATTAAAATCTCCACAAACTATTAATGATTTACTACTTGAACATAGTTTTTTAAGAACATCATCCATTACACACTCAAACTGATCGAAATCACCTGAGGGGGGCCGGTATACGCATACTATAATATACTGTTGACTCTCAACGCAGGATAATTCAATAGAACGTTCGACAGAGTGTGCCACTATATCCTGTCGATTTTTACAGACTATATCAGTTCTAACTAATACAAGAGAGCCACCGCGAATAGCATTTACTCTTACGAACGAACTTAACAATTTATAATTTTCTATATTAACAATATTACAGTGCTTATGTAACCATGTCTCTGTGAAGCAGATGACATGTATATTAAATTTCCTAAGGAACAATTCAATTTCGGGTTCTTTGCCGCTTAAGCCTTGTATATTTTGATGCACAATATTTAATTTAAGTGGCCTAGGCGTTGTCTCAATGTTTAGTTTAAACTAACATTGTTTGCTGAAAGATTATTACATAATAAAATATTCTTAGTTGTACTATTTACAACTGGGTTTTGTATATTATATGCGACAGTCCTCTGTTGCAGGAATGGACAGGTCCGTCCGGGTATGTACCACCGCATCACAGAAGACCGGTGTGAAGTGTAAGATTTGAGAAGCTCCTCTTTTCTTTTCAGAAAAAAAGAACTGAAAATTCGGACCTTCGGATCATGTCATTTTCATAAATACATTTTTCTCATACCTCGATCCAAAATAATGGGAATAATATGTACAATAATGTAGAAATAAGTACCTGCATGATGTCCTGCAAGTTTTTGAGCAGTGTGGTCTCCTCCAGCAGGTCGGGGGGCACGGGGGGCGGAGGGGGCGCTGCCGTGGCCCTCTCGAATGTCATTATCGACCACCTTGTTGCATAAAAGTTCACAATTACTGCTTGTTGTAATTGTTGCGTTGCATCATGAGGCGATATTTCGCGCTTTACGGCCGCTTTCAATTTTCTATCTGCAGATAGGTTTGCTTACTAGCGATAGGTATTTGACGTTAGCTATATGATATAATCTATTTGTATATAGAATATTCAAACCGGCCATAAGTGTAATGATGGCGAGTAGTTTCATATGTTGGTGAGAATAATAACGGTTGGGGCTGACAGTTATCTTGCAGAAGTATTATATTTTTATTATGTAACAGAGATAAATGGGACTCATCTGAAGGCAAGTCACGCATCAGCGATACAAAAAAGGTGGTAAGACCTACCACGTTTTCGGGTAAAAATAAAAAAGAGTTATAAGCATCTGAGTGAAATTGGTTCCGCAATTTTTCTAGATATTCTTTCGTTTGCAAGAATCGACTCATCTTTTATTTACACTATTTAACATCTGAAAATTGTCAATGAGTTATATCGAAAATCCGAACACGAACAGCATTTCGTTGTCCGCAATTGTACGCCAACGAGCAGTGTAAGTGAGACAGAAGTGTGACGTTAATTATAACCTATTAACTGTGTTAAAAGACAAGAGTCTTTGTTGTACCTGTCCAGCATTTTGGTGGAGGCCCTCTCGTACCGCTCTATCAGTTGCTGTAGGTTGGCAGCGTCATCGCAGGAGGCACCCCAGCCGAGCACGCGGGCTAGGTCGTTTCCCGTGCCGAGGGGCAGAACGGCCGTTTGCACGTGACGCTGTCAGAAAGGTTCGAATGCACTTATTGGCTCCTACCATCTAATCCCGCCAGATCTAGTGTTTTGTTAAAGAATTTACATATGTTTTAATTGACACTGCACTCTTCAAAGTCAAGATTTATGTAAATTCCAGCTTATTTGAAGCTCTTCAAATAAGCTTACGTTAAAGAGTTGTGAAAAGTCTGTATATTCGTTATACATATGGTATAACGACTTGACAACAGTGTGAACATCTGCTAAATCTTACATTTCACGGAACTTTATAACGGAGATATGTGTGCCACTAGGAAGCGATGCAATGAAACGTAAGTACGTATGCATATCCACCTGGGAGCACGGACACTGGAGGTGGTACACTCACGTGCATATCCAGCTTGTCGATCTCTTGCAGCACCCAGCCCACGGAGCCGTCACCGCTGCACACGAGCACCCGCAATGGCGCGAAATGTCTGAACAGGCGCAGCCCTAGTCGCGGCCCGGCGCCGCTCAGCTCGAACACTTGCGCCGGATTCAGGAGCTGCTTGAAGCGCCTCAGGAACTTCACGCCTTGGTTGTCGCCTAGTCGAGCAGTCAAGGTACACGCGGCTAGAGTCTCTCAAGTACTTACGTCACTTGCTGCAAGAGGGTGAAGGAATCGGAGAAGGTTTATCCTTTTCCGTGGCGTGCTCAGGCGTAGTACCGAGGGGCACCGGTGCGTTCCATGGGATCCCGGAGTCCCTCCAAATGTACAGACGGTGGGCACCGAGGGGGTTTTAGTGGGTAAGAACCCCACATACCACGACAGGGTATCTTTCGAAGATTTCCCCCCGATACAAAAAAAAGTCACTTGCTGTTTGGTTAGTTCATTGTCTTTCTGCCTAGAACTTCTAGTCTTAGTTTTGGAAAGCTTGTCACCAGGTATTATAAGTAATGATCGCCTAGTCTCATGTCATTAGTTAGCTTGTTACCAAAGTGCTGATCGAATCACACGTCATTTTCTTTATTGCTCCGCTAGCAGTTTTGGCCGTCTCGTATCGAAATGTGTAGAAGTATTTTTTTATGTGAGAAGGAAGGGAAGAATGGGCTCATTGTTTTACTGATGGTTTACCTAATGTTAAGTAATAACCGCAACCTATTGATATCTATAAAAGCATCCTGCGTCGCCACCTTTTTATAAATTGGGCCCTGGTTACCTCACTCACCAGAAGAAACGCAGAAGCATAACACTTCAACTTCAATTCTGTGAGGCCGTGGTACTTCCCCGGAAGAGCTGCCACTGTTGAAATTCGCAACTTCTGAGGAATAGTTGCAAAATTCTCAGCCTTTTAAATAACAGAGCCCTCTTCTTGAAGGTTCCAGTGAGTATCGGCGAAAATTTGTTTATCAACATCAAACTATACGGAGTGATCTGATTTCGATGTTAATTTTACACTCATCAAATCAAAAACATGGTGTCACTGTCCTTAGCGGAGAACAAAGATCCTATGCGCAATGAATCTAAGATTACAAAATTTTTCGGTGGTAGGGCCACGCAGCAGCTTCGGCTGTTGCACGAATGGGCAGGCTCGTCCGGGTATGTACCATGACCTCACAGAAGACCGGCGTAAAGTGGAAGTATAATACTTTCCCGTTTCATCTGGTGAGTGGTAGCCGGAGCCCAATTTTCAAAAGGTTGTCATCGGCAACCTTCGGGTGTAGCAAATGTCCATGTGCGGTGGTATTCACTAAACATCACGTGAACCGTCTGCTCGCTTGGCAACTTTTCTCATAAAAAAAAATCTGTCATTTTATCTATACAATCTGTTTAAAAAATAACAAAAAAACCATCAAGTCCCAAACATCAGGTACTACGCCGACCTGATCTGGAGTTGACGAAGACGATAAGGGGCGAGGCGTTCGGTGGCCTGTCTGGCAGCCAGCCGTCGTCCGGGCCGACGGAGTGGAGCCTGGTGGGGGGCACGACTGAGGCACGCGCTGGTCCCAGGGTGCAGGTCGCCCGCCAGCCGGGGCGGCAGTTGGCGTGCACGCATTTCCGACACCACACGCACCTGAAGTCTTGGAGCCTGTTTCAAATCGATACGACGGAATAAACAACTGCATATCGGACCAAATTGTAGTTCGGCTCCTAGATATGTTAATATTTAGATTAATAAAATTGTGGGCTTATAAGTTAAAAGTAACTAGTACTCCCTATTACCTCTATTTGTTTAAGCTGCTTGGACCACGTAGATCAGTTCAATAGTTGTATAAAGTGAATCTTTTACAATTTCTTTTAGGAAAAACCGATTGTGCGGTTCTATTAAATTGACAACACACGTCGCACATCGCTGAGGAAAATTCATCAGGCAGAAAGCAAATTACGAAGAGCCCAATTTGGGAAGATTAATTTTGTTTTCGAGCTTATGTCATAAATTTTAATTATTACGGTGTAGCGAACATTCCTAATACATATATACGTGGTCTTTTGTTTATGTGAGATTCACCTAATGTTAGATGACAAATGATGCTAATGGATACCCGTAACGTCAGAGAAAATAGAGTGAGCCTTCGTTTGCCTCATTTACCTGACGATACACAAAAGCGTAGTCATGTCGATCCTCTATGTCCGTGGCACCTCCCTCGTCATGTCAACCCAATTATGCATCGTAATAAGGTTGGAATGGTCAAGGGTTACAGATGATTTACATCTAAAAAGGGTTTATTTCGGGAACTTACAGTCATTTAACCGAGGAAGGTCCATGAAACGATCTTCGCTGTTGCCAGAATGAAAAGGACCGTCCGGGATTATACCACGAGCTCATAGAAGACCGGCGTGAAGTGGAACTACTTCTGTATTTTGAATCAGTATATTTTTTCTTTTTTTTTTCTTGTTTTATAAACATTGCCCTCACTTTAGGATAACATTATCCTGCGTAGTAAGGGCGTTTTAAACATAAATTGCACGAGGACAAACACCCAGATGCGAAACAACTATCTGTGGGTTGCACTAATAGTTGTCCCGTGTGGGAATGGAACCCACGACCCCCGACGCCGAAGTCAATACCTTGGCAACTGCGCCATGGAGTTAATTTGTCATGTATTTTGTCTGATGAGTGAGGTACCTGGAGCCCACTTAATTAAAAGGTGACGACGCATCTGTAACCTTATACGTGTCGCAAATGTCCATGGCTCGCATGCCACGTTCTCTCGTAAAAAAAATTAAGTGTCAAATGTTTTTTCATCGCAGTAACAATGGGAACGGCGAATTTAAAACAGTGTTGAATTTAAAAATTCATCAACACCATTTTGAACTAAACTACAAACTAACGGTACAATCGATCCAAAAACTGAAGCACAAACAGTCAACTGCCAGTTCTCGCTCCAATATCATCGGAGTTAGCTAAAGGGCGCCAGGAATGTGAGCTTGAGGCCTACTCGAAAGTTCGTTTATAAAAAGCAAATAAGCCTTTACCGCTAATTTGTTTAACTTCACTTTTAGTTTGGTTTAAAATTGCCAAAGTTTTAAACCTTCAATAAGCGGAGTCAAGAAAATAATATGAGAACAAACAGATTAAAAACAAACGTTTCAATGTTGACAACGATTATCCATTACTAAACTAACATGGTTAATGTGTGAAAAGAGTTAAGAACGTAGTAGATGAAAACAGAGATAACTGTGACTCCGAGGGACTTTTTGTGCGATAGCAACAATATCAAACGACTGACTGAGTTGAAAGAGAATATTATTGCTGTTGAAAAAGTGCTTCGTTGGTTCGGAGAAACGGAAAGGAATACGGTACGATATTGAGGGAAAATGGTTGCAGGAACCGGGCAAGTCTTAACTGATGTGTTTGCTTTCAGTCCCGAGACTATTAAGGCTTGGGGCAAGTCTTATAATGGCCAAACAATCGACCAGATAAGTGAAATAAAAACGGGGTGAAATAATAGTAATAACAAGCATGTATATAAGTGTATAGATAGAATATTGCTACTCATTGGGCATCTTAGACTAGACGTTTTCTTAGCATCTCACTAACCGCGAAGTAAAGTGCTCAACAAATATGGTATTGCTTACAAAGAGCCTTCTGACGTCAACGTAATTAAACTAAAATTGGCTTCACTACAGAGTTCATTTCTATGTTTGAAGGTATCCGATGTCAATGTTAGTGTCTCAAAGGCAAAGAGCAAATATACTTTTACTCAGCTAGTTCATTTACCAAGTTGCTAGTGACAAATAAAAATAAGAAGGGAATAGTTATCATTGCAGGCGATTTCAACATTGACAATAAAAAGCAAAATAATATTTCAATGGAGTTTGAATGGCTTTTATTATATTGTTGGAAATAAATCGAAACATCGAATAGCAACACTGCAACGGGCTATAAAACATAAAAAGTAAGAGTCAAACATGAATAGATGATAAATTAAACAAATTTTTACGGATTTATCGAGTTTATTTTTAATTTTAATTCCCGACGTTTCGAACCCTTTACAGTGTTCATGGTCACGGGACAGACTTAGGCGTTGGACGTCAGCTTGTCATAGTTAACCCGGGCTACCGTCAGTGTTTTGAATTATTAATTTTGTGTCCGACCTATGCAGAGGGAGCTAATTGTATCTTGTCTTGCAGTAGTGGTTCGTTTGGGCCTAGATTTAATTTTGTTGATGATAGGATCCCAAGCTGATGGTAGCAAACAACCCTCTTTTTTAATGAAATGAGGGTGTTACAAAACAACAATTTTTATAAACTATCAACAAAATCAAATTGCCAATGAAAAAAAAATGACTAGTCTATTTGTTATAATTCTGAGTAGTCTTAAATAATTAATTTAACACTACTCAGAATTATAACAAACGACACAAATAATTGTCCCGTGTGGGAATCGAACCCCAGCCCCCGACGTCGAAGCCAATACCTTTAGCAACTGCGCCACGGTGTCATCAATTTATTTATATACAATAACTACTAACTACAATTTTTTTATAAAAATTATTATATTGTTTAGTTTCTTATGTATTACAAATTAAAAAATAAAGCAATAATTATATTCAGTGTTGTTTGTCTGTGGTGGTTTGCGCTCGTGAGAAATGCGCAACAAATTAAAACGGCGTGACCCCGTTTTTTAATTTGTTGCGCATATACTTATATACCTCACCTTAGTACGGAGCCGCAAGTTTTCTCGCAGATGTCGCATTTCGCCGCCACCGGTAAGTTACCTTCCAGCCACTGGTGAGGCATTATGATGTTCTGTAACAAAGTTTTCTTTTTAAGCGGACAGTATTGGGTTTATACAGGGTGATTTTTATAGACGACGGACATATTAACAGAGCGTATGCAGAATTTGATTCTAAATCTGAATCTGGAAAAAATGAGGTCATAAGTACGTAATTTATGATCTAATATTTTCAAAGATTATTTTTATTTTTTTCAAACAGTATGGACACCTTAAGAAATTACTGCCTTACCGTCTCAATACAATAACCTAGTGACGAGCACTAAAACTTTTCGCTGAACGCAAAATTACTCAACCGCTTATTAATAGGGTGACGACTTTTAACGGGATAAACAAACAAAGTTTGAATAATAGATGTTTGTCTGGTTTTCTTGGCAAAATTAAATATTAATATATATTTTTTAAATTATGAAATGCTCCATTAATATTACACAACAATCAAAAATCACAATTTATCATATAATTTTATCTGCCCATATTATCTTTTAAGACTCAGTGGCCGCCAAGTCGTGAAATAATGAACTAATGAATAATTTTTATTTGAAAATTTGTCAACGTCACAGGTGGCCCACTGTAGGTAGGCAAACGTAGAAATTGTTGCTCTAATGGGCCTCTAATGTCGCCGGGAGAAGCGTGAAGTGATATATCGGGACATATTTTTACACAACGTTATCTAGTACCAAACTAAGCAAAGCTTGTACTATGGATACTAGGTAACTGAAAAGTGTAACAGATAACTGATAAACATACTTAAACGTACATTTCTTTTATAAATAAATACATATTATATGTATTTAAACACACAGACACTAGAAAAACACTATGTTTTCATCACAAAATATTTTTCTAGTTGTGGTGATCGAACCCTTGCACAAGAGGACCACTAGAATCAGTATCAAATACGCCAATCGGGTCGTCAATCTATAACTACACAGATGCTGCTGATGTGTGTAGGTGAACTTAATTATTCAAAATCAGGTGAATTCTTATATAAAACATATCCATTTTTTAACATCCAAGTTATTATAATTTCATAATTACCAACAGATAATTATAGCGGGCAGGAATATTTACTAGGTTAAAATCCAAAATGTATACCCGTTAAAATATAGGTGTGCTATTTTAAATTATGTAAGCCGAAATCATCGGTTTCATTTTGTCAAACATATTTGCCTATACACAGGTTGGAATTACGCGTGTAGTTAAAACATTCCTTCATATGCATATGTGAAATTTGAAATATGTAACGTGAAACTGGTATAGTAGTAGTATAAAGCTAATAGAAGTAATCATGAAAGGGAAATTCATGAAGGCTCTAGTAATATCTTTGGATTTAAAAAAAAAATTAAAATAGAAATGTAAAATATCTGATGGATGAATGATGATTATTTCATTGTCATATTAAAAAAAGATATAAAATCGCCGAAACTATTATTAGAATATTAAATCGAAAAACTGCTCTATCACAATCGTTATTTTGTTTAATCTCAAGTTTTTTTTTCTCCATTGAAATTGTGGTAAATTTAGACATATAAATGGTCACTAACACTAATGGAGATGGTCACGGGGATCTGAAATCAAGTTGCTCGAATATACTGAATTAAAAATAGCCACCAGGACACTAAGCTATCGGAGTAGAATTTATTATGGTAGAGTAGGACCTATATGGTAGAGAAGTACTATACTTTAAAAAATTCCCTTCCTCCTAGGAAAAATACATAGGAAGACACGAAGAATCGGAAGTTAGTTAAAAGGAAGGCAGCAACATAAATTTTCAATGCCATTCTCCGCAGAGATTCGAAGAGACGAAATAAATACACGGTAAAATTTGTTCGGCTACGAATAAGACTGAAAAGCGTGAAAACCACAGGGTTGTTATTCAACATATCTCTAAAGATCTTTTCACAAATGTGAATACCAAAAGGTTTATTAATCACGGACTTTCACTAACAGTTACTCAATACCTAGTAAATCTAAGTTCGAACCCCAAGTAATCATGAAGCACAATCTTTGTACCCCTTTCTAAGAAAATTGCGCGGACGGAAATTTGACGGAATGAAATTTCCCACTTATAGTTTTATAGAGAAGGAGTGCAGACTACTAATATTTTTTTTAATTATGCATAAAAATACATTAAATCAATAAAATTAAACAACCGTGTATATGATAATTACGGTTGAATTTCAACTGCTTCGTGACCACTAGTTCATATAGATACTAGTATATATATACAGAGGAGACCTATGCCTGAGTGTAGTATATATATACAGAGGAGACCGATGCAGACCATCTGCTTCGCAGGCATAGGTCTCCTCTGCACAAAAGATGCCTGGGTGGAATTCAATACAGGCTCTAATGCGGATCGGCATAGTCCTTATAATTTAGAAATGGTTTTTTCAAAATTTCTTCAATATCGGGTGTCACAAGTTCCGAAATTAATAAACTATCATTAAACAAGTTCCGAAATTTTTAACAACTACTAAATCCAGTGTTGATATGAGAGAGTTTAATGTAAAGTTTCTATGTTGGGCCAAAACAAATGAGTTATATTACAGAAGTCTGCAAATACGATTTCCGATCATACGATGTAAATATTGTTGGGCGCAAAATCGGATGCCAATTGAGATACGTCGTTAATCCAACCTTATTGGAGCGCTACCTTCATAACGCTCCAATCGCTTCGTTTTTTGGCGAAATAACTCACTTACACGCGATCCTTTCATAGATTAAATTGAATCTCAACTCATTGCCGGGGCACAAAATGAGGGGCTTTTATACCCAACATCATTTCTTTCAGTTAAATATTATCGTATACTTCGTTTTTGATATGTATACCTACTTTAATGTAGATTTTTTTAGGATAACGAGGTAAAAATTTAGTGATTAATTACATTTTAGTGCTAGTCTCTGCACACAAGATGACAGACACTAAAACTGAAATTCGAAATGAGGATATGGGCTGCTAAGCTTAGTTGGTTAGAGCGGTTTAAAACCAAAGGTTTAAGACAGTGGCGAAAATGTTTCGACAATTTATGTACAAAAATTCAATTTAAAAATTTAACGAATACCAGTCTGAAAAATAAATAATGTAGAGTATTTTTAGTATATAATTAATGCGTTTTTAGAAGGCGACTATATTTTAAGGCCTAACCTACCTAAGATGTAACCAAATTACTTATATTATTTACAAATTAATATTCTGGTACGAGTAGTGTTGTGTAATGTTTGCTTTAATATTGCAAGAATGTTTTGTAAATTCATGAAGTATGTATCCTTTAATTGGAGCGGCAATAAACTAATCTACGCGTATGATATTTGTATAATACATTTTATGTATTATATATTTGTTTGTATTAAAAATATATTGTATCAAAAATGGAAAAAGTAAAGTAACAACCACCATTCGGATGGTATTTGGTGGCAATTCATTGGTATTGTACCAATGAATTGTTAAGTAAAATTAACAATTTCATTGGTGCCGGAACCGGGGATCGAACTTGGGTTGCTTGAGTATATTGAATTAAGGGCGAGTGCCCGATCACTAGTTATCACGGCTCAATATATTGCGTTAATAAATAAAAACTTTATCCGTCCAACTCACCCCTCGGCGTCTTCGACCACGTGCGGCCCTAGCGAGGCGAGCGTGCTCCATTTGCAGGAAGGGGGCGCTCGAGCGGCGCACCTCTTGTGCGCTTTGTACTTGCACAGTTCGCAGGCGAGGGCGTGCGCCGTTCCCAGGGCGCCGAGGGGCTCGCGGCAGACGTTGCAGAACGTCGGCCGGGCGTGGGTCGCAGCGTACCTGCGATCGCAATTGCGAGATCGGACGTGAACTGTAAGATGGTTTTTACCACCGGGAGGGGGGGAAATGTTCATGAAGTGTGCAGCGGTTTTTGCCGTTGCCCGAATGGGCGGGCCCGTTCGGGGAAAAACCGTACACACGTAGTCATAGACGACAGGGTTGAAGTTGAAGTGTACTTGCGCGCTTCGCCTGGTGAGTAATGGATTGGGAAAGTAAGACGGTACACTTCTTAATGGTTGGTAACGTATCTGCAACAGGCAGGCAGTACTGTGCAGATGTCCAGAGGTGTCGGTGAACATTTAACATCAGCTAAATCGCTCGCTTGCTATCTTTTCACATTAAAATATCGAAAAGGTATTGTAGCGCCTTGTATAGGAGGTTTAGTTGATAAAATTGAGTAAAGATGAGACTTCTTTATGTAAGAAAATGGCAAGTGGTCTGGCTGTTCACTTGATGTTAAGTGATAACTGCCGCCCATTGATATTGCAACACAACACGCTAACTCTCTCACCAGACGAAATGCAAAAGTAAATCACTTCGACTTCACACTGATCTTCGTAGGTCGTAATACCCCGGACGGACTTGGCCATTCGAGTTTTATGTAAAACTTAATAGTTTTCGTAATTTTAGTGTATTTCGTAATTTTACGACATCGAGCCGAAAGACGTGTGGTAAGAGACATTAGGGATCAATCTAATAAGTACCAGTGGTGATCGCCGGAGGAGAGACGGGCGACCAGGTCCGCTACATCTGCGCCGCGGTGCAACGCGCCCCGCAGCGCCCCCGCCCAGGACTCCATCTCGCTACGGCTCTCCGCGCACAGCACCACGCACCTGCTAGGCGTTATCACCTGCAACAAAAGAAACCATCAACGGCTGCATCGCTACTTACCATCAGGTGGGATGACAGACAGGTGCTGGCCAGTTTTGAATTAAAAAAAATGTTGAATCACATCGGTGTATGATCTGGAATAGGGGGTTGCGGTGAGACCAGCTGTGTAGTGTTATATTTTTATGTGAAATACACCTGTCGTCTTGGTCCCCAAATTCGATTCGAATTTGTTTTTGTATTCGATTCGAATTTTCGAACTCGATTTGAAAAGCTTACTCCCAAACCGAGTCGAAACTAGAAACAAGATCGTGCGTTATCAAATCCTTTAACGGTATCCGCCCTATTACGTCACAGATAAATGTTCCATGTTTAAGGTTATAACATCTTTCTTAAATAAAATGTTAATTGCTCAATTTTTGCCGAAAAGTTATACGATCTTAGTTAGTTCCAATTAGAGCCAGCACTTGATTGTGCGCTGGCGTCAGTGGTGCGGACTGTCATGAATTCGAGCCAAACTCGATTGATTCAGAACTCGAATCTGTCGCTAGTAGGCCTGCTGATTTTAAGTGATATCCGCCGCCCATGGACATTAAGTACACCTGTAAGGTATCAGATGCGTTGTCTTTTAACAAAGTGGACCCCGATTGATTCATTCACCAGATAAAAAGAAGGAGTATAACATTTCCACTTCACTCCGGTCTTCTGTGAGGTCGTGGTACTTCCCCGAACGGTCCTGCCCATTCCTGCAACAGTGAGACTGTTGCGTGGTAAAATTTGTAAAATAAAATACTGTTTACAAAAATATATTAAGCTTTATTATTAGGCAATTATAAATTCATAAGAGTTTAACCGAGTATCATTATCACCAATCGTCTATACATTTAAAACGTTAATTTGAAAAATAATTTTTAATACAGTAGGTAGTATTAGTAGGAAAACGCATGCTCAAATCAGCAATAAGTAATTTATTTAAAGTCTTAGTAGAGCGGTATCTATTTGCGCCAACCGTCCTAACATGACATTTTTTTCCGAATAGGGAGGAGCCGCGTGTGTCGATTATTTTGGAGTAGTGCTGTACAGGCCTCGTCTAGGAAGCGATTATCTTCTTATCAGTAGATAATAATATAAGTGAGCGAACATCGGTAACCTCTCTGGCCGTCTTTGTCAGTATAAAAATTTTTTTATAAATTGTATGAAAATATATTTTTAATATTATAAACAAAGTATTCAATTTAACGACAAATTTCAGTAATAATATTACGTATTAATCAATCATTATACATTTTTCTCCCCTTCCATACCGTTCCAAGCAATTATTTAAGTTTACAAGTTCACAACAAAAGACGAACACGTACAGTAAAATTACAAAAAACGACCAATAAAATTACACACAGCAGTACTTGTTTCGGAAAAGATTAGCAAAGACATTAGCAGGCCATTTCGCTTGATCCTCATAAATTACTTTCGTTTTGCGATGTATTTATTGCGAACAAGATATCTTCTTTTTCTCAATAAACCCTCTTTAACCCGCTGATCTGATTTGTGAATTATCTCAATGGACAATATCTTTCTATAGCTAGATTTAATTTCTTGTATCATACCTAACAGCCTTACTGAATTCATTTTTCCTAGAAGTCTTCCTCGTTTTATCGTTCATTTCTCTTCTTATTACCACATCTTTATATACTTCCATTACTTCGTACTTCTGTCCATCCGTTTCCACGTTAATTTTTAATTGAGTTAGTTATAAGATACGACATTAAGTTGAGAAAATTCAAACGCCTTTAGGTCGCCTTTAAAGGCCAGTTTCAATATTCTATCTACATGGATTTGGTTAGTGGAGATAGAATTTTGACGTAAGTATTATGGAGCCAATGTCAAACACCTATCGCTAATAACGCAATCTATCTACTCGTATTGATAGAATATTGAAACCCGCCGTTAGTCACCTTATACCATATGGGAGACAATAAGGCCAAACTCAAAGCCTGGGTCAAGTAATTGAAGTGTAGGTAAGTTTTTAATAGAGTAAATTTTCCAAAAGTGGTCCGCGCTGCCTGCTAAAATTAGACCTAATACATTTATCATTATGTATTTTATAAGACATAGTTCCGTGAAGACAGCATGTAGCTCAGATATTCAATTATGCTGGGACTAAGTTCATTTCTAATGAAGCAAGCTAAGGTCATCCGTGCGTAATAAACTGTTCCCCAATCAGACCGTTTCTCGTGTAATGGTTGTTTTATTAAAATACTTCACTCGTTATAGATCGTAAAGGACCGCACGGCAGAAAAGCTACATAAAGGTAAGTCATAAAGACGAATTGAGCGTTCACGATGGTCGCCAAAGAAGACTGAACGAATTTTTGTCTCGGGACTAATAGTCTCGGGACTGAAAGCAAAAACATCAGTTAATACAAGATGAACGAATTTCACGAAACGTAATTACATCGCCGGAATGGCTTCGCTTGATTAAAATAACCATCGGAAGAAATTTGTTGTAAATAATCAATCGTTGGAGCGTAGCTTAAAGACCTCCAGTTTTATAAATCATGATTTATCTTTATATATATAATTATAGTCTTTTTGTGGGTGTGTATATCCCAGAACTCCTCCTAAACGGCTGGACCGATTTTAATAAAAAATAATTATGTCATCAGGTGGATGCGAGAATAGTAGATTCACAAACTTATTCAAAATGATTACAGAAGAACGTCTGTCAGGTCCGCTAGTGATGTTATACATTGACTCTAAAACTATTATTAATATCATAGCATATCATAGTGGTAACGTTGGGTAGAGTGGTTGGCAAGCGAAAAAGGCGGTTTACCTGCTGCTGAGCAATAATCCTCACGAATAGAAAACTCCTCACTCATCAGATGAAACGCATATATTACTTTAACTTCAGTCTTCTGCGAGGCTTAGTTCGCCACATCACAGTAAAATACTGAAGACAGAAAAGAGATCAAAGTCAACGTGGTAATTTAATGCAAAAATTTTCGAGTAATCGCCGATTACCAGTGGCGTAGAGATTTTATTCTTTATTCTACATGTATAAAGGCGAGGTTAACCCTAAAAAGTGTTTTCTTCCAGTAAACCCTGATATAAGATTATAAAAAAATTATGCGATTTTAAAAACTAAGCGCTAAAAAAATTGGCTTTACTAAATTGACAAGTTATTTGATTTGGGCATTGTTTTAATGACCTTTAATAACTACTGACCTTTAATAATGAAATCTACGGACGATTTTGTTAAAAGCGCTTCTATATTATAGTGTAGTGGATGGTTTTCAATAAATTATTTCAACAATGATGACTCCGTGGCGCAATTGCCAAGGTATTGGCTTCGGCGTCGGGGGTCGTGGCTTCGATCCCCACACGGGACAACTATTTGTGTGACCCACAGATAGTTGTTTCGTATCTGGGTGTTTGTCCGCGTGTAATCTATGTTTGTAAAACGTAATTACAACACAGGATAATGTTATCCTAAAGTAAGGGCAATATTTAAAAAAAAATAGACACGACTATTACCTTAAACAAAAAATTACTGTGAAATCTTTATGTAAAACTGGAGCTTTAAGAATACACGAAATGTATAGGCACCACGTGTTCAGTGATGTGTGATGTCTTGGCTTATAAGTGGAGCAAGCTGTGTTGTGTTAATATAATAAGAAACGTAGACGAACTGGATGTCAGTTACTTGTATATAAATACAGACTTTTGCTCATTTGTATACAAGTGATAGATAAGCAGGGAGTATACTTATTAACAAGAGTCTTGAGTTGTGGCCGAGCTTAAAGGCTTCCAGCTTTTCCCCTTGAAGCGTCACATATATTATAAACAGTAAATAATTTATAACCGCCTTTTCCGGCTTTCCAGGTTTTCCACCGGTGGCCCAATTAACTAACATCAAATGTTCCGTATCATAATTTGCATTACGTAACTATACAAACTTAAATAACCGACGTTTCACATCAAAAAATTTAATTAAATATATAATCAACCTTTAATATTTTCAAAAATTGGGGATCCCAAGCTGATGCGTATATTTTTAATAGTTTCCTATTAAAAATATACGCTTATTTATATCAATAAAAACTTGCCATATTGACTAATTATTACCTACTACATACTTCTGTTCCCCCTATGAAAATTGTATACACAAACAAGTAAAGAAAATTAATGTCTTTATATCAGTAGCACATATTTCAGATGCTTACGTATTCCTTTCCTGAGTTTCCACCACCAGAATATAAGAAGAAAGAAACATTTCTCGCTTCATCGTGATACTAAATTACCGAAGATGAATCTAGACTGATGTTTGCAAACGCAATATATGTCTCCAATCATTACAAGCGATTTAAGGAGAAATTGAGTAATGGTGGACTATCTTTCGTGTGTTGCCCCCTTATTGACCTCTTATGATACATATATGTATATATCTATATGAATACGTGAAGCAAAAATGTTGTACGCATTTTTACGATAATTGCGCGGACGGAGGAGTATGAAATTTCCCACACTTATAGTTTCATTTATATAGAAATAGAAACAACAACACAATGTAGACCATCTGTGAAAATTTCAACTGTCTAAATATCACCGTTCATGCGATACAGCCTGATGACAGACAGACAGACGAACAGACAGACAGCAGAGTCTTAGTAATAGGGTCCCGTTTCACCCTTTGTCTTCAGAATCAAAAAAGGACAAAAAGTTTTTACAACGCTGCGGAAATCGAATCCGCGTCTTCTGTCTGTCTACGTTTTCATGCTGTAAAAGATATAACAATAGTTGTAAACACAATGTAGATAAATAAAAGACGTTGAACAGCGAAAAGCCTCCTTCGTCCTTTTCTCTACGAATTTTAATGTTTCATCTTAAAACACATTCACCGTTTCACAGTCAAAAAATATCGATATAAATTATCAGATTATTCTTCTTCCATTAAAGTTTCCTTTCCATATATTTCTCGAACTGCTCGCTAAGTCCCGTAGTATAATCGTACCCGTCAGCGTGTTTGCCCGTGTAAATAAAGCGAGCGCGGCGTTCTTAACGACTGTACACAAAGCTTCCACGGCTGATACTACGGGCGGCATACAGAGTAACGTTCTGTAAACACACTTTGCATTTCGCACGAGCCCGCGAAATGCGAACGCGACGGTACCGGCCATTTTTACATCAAATTAAACAGATTGAAGAGCGTGCGAGAACGTTTCATCAAAACGTTCCAGTTGGCCTAAAATTTACATAATATAACGCTCGCCTCTGTTGGATTTGTATTTTATATAAATAAAAAAAATGAGTGAAACAATTTTTAGGTTAAACGGTTTTATTGAAAATAAATATTAAAATGATGTCGACAATGTACTAAAAGCTAAAAAATAATTCGGTAGGTCCTAGAGACTAAACACCACTCTCCTGATCAATTTAGGCCATAGAACAGACAAAATAATATAATCGTTAGACGCGTGTAACCTGGGTAAATATGTAAATGGAATTTAGATTTAGCGGTTGACTTTATAGAAATTTCACACATCCAACGATTTTATTTTTTTGTCTGATACAGCAATACTGAAAACGACAGCAGAAAATGTCCAGCGTAACCAAACCGGCCTTCTACGTGACTAACTACTTTTTGGGTTTAGTATTGTTATTATTAAAGTGGGCTAAAGACATTGATTGCCAACCGAAACTATAATATTTAAGGATTTTAATATTGGTTTCAGAGAACATACTATGGCATTCGGTGCCATAATGTTATAGTTAGCTCGGACTACCGTTTATACACCGATCCAGGAAGAAAGTAATTTAATCATCGGAACCCAAACAGGTGATAGCACTAAAATTCATATTGTATTACATTTAGCTTACTATTCATAGTATTCGTAAACAATATAGTCAAGTTTTTAAATATATTTTCATCACGAATAATAACGACCGAAAATATGAAACGATTATTGATATTTATTAAAAAGCCTTTAAAGAGCTTGCCCTGTTCCACCTGATGAATATTTATAATGTTTTTTTATGACTTTCATTAGCGTCAATTTTCGCTTGTTATCCTATATTAATTGGATATTTTTGGACCCTTTTAAGGGTAGAAAAGGAAAGTGAAACAGTCTAGTGATTGGAACGGCGGACTTATAATCTCAAAGGTGTAAGATCAAATCCCAGCAACTGTTTTCTTTACAAACTTTCCGTTTTTCGGTGTTCTTAGGAGAAAAAATAGCGGTCTAACATGTGTGCTCAGTACACAGCGACAGGATCGTCACCTGTTGGGACCCAAAGGACCAAAAGACATTTCAGTAAGTTACGTTATGCGCCTAGGGTGCGATAAACTCGCAAACGCGCGCAACCTTCCCCCCTCTTAGTGAGACCCTGAGCGGCAGGCATGGGGGTGTCTGTCGCTCAATATGGGGCTCGTGACACGGCCTGTGCCAATTGCACCGGCATGTAATAGCGGAGGCCCAAAAAGGCCATGGTCGCGCCGGGGTCGCGGAAGATTGCGTCCACGTGTTCCCGTGTCCCCGGCCCATGCGACAGGTGCACTGTGGGTTCTTTTAATGGGTACCCGTTTCTTAATGGGACTCCCACATACCCCTGCCCCTCCCCCGATCCAGTGGCAGGGGATCCGTAGAGGATTTTTCCCGCGGAAAAGCAAAGGTGCGATAAATTCCATTTTTGACGCGAGTAAAACCGTAGAGCACATCCAGCTAATTTCACGAGCAAATATTGACCGCTGCGGGCTTGATAGATTAAGTGCACTTGAACTAATTGAATTGGGGGCTGCGTCCTATCTGCTGATCGCCGAGTGAGAGAAACGCAAAATTAAAAGTGAACTTATGGCTAAGGCGTATTATACCATTGCGGAATGTCTTGACCACACCAATGTGTGGGATTAATACTGTTGATACTCACGTAGGCTAAAGTAAGATTTATATACTTATCCTATTATATTGTTAACTAATCGTTTTAAAAAAAGAGCAGCTGTTGAGTTTCTTGTCGGTTTCTTCTCAACAGAAACTGCTTTCCGAACCGGTGGTAGCTTACTTACGAACGTATTAATTTTTATGTGAAATGTTGACGTTTCATAAGAACGCGCAAGCGTCTATGTGAATAAATATATTTTTGATTTTTGATTTGATTGATTTGATTTGAGTTACACGCGACGAGTGGCTTGTTTTTGAAACTATAGATTTCTCTATATTACATTAATAAATTACATAATCATCATCAACATCATTATTTCGAGTTTACGGCTGATCCCTTGATCGCTGACGAGTTGGTGGGGCTTATTTTTACGCCACACGGCAATAACAGAATATTACTTTGAAATTTCACCTCTGTTGGTTGCTGCTAAAGATTGCTTAGTTAATAGTGAGTTCTAATTTTAAAGCCACTAGGGTTAGCCCATTATAATTTAAAAATGCAAGATATAAACGAAAAGCTTTTTAAATTCGACAGAAGTTTTTATATTCTTTTTCATGTATCACCAACATTGTTATACGATAAGTACTAGTTCTGTTTCGGTTAATCGAATGACGAATGACATTTTTCCCGAACTCGATAACTTCAGATTTGTATTTCTGAACAAAAACCATTGTTCTTAGCTGATATTTGTTGAGTAATAATATTATAAGTTAAATTCCTTTTCACCCGGCAACAAAGGAATGAACATGGATCATCTAAATAGCTCGTCAAAAAAATCAATATCACACTTATTGCAAGCGTTGCATGATTGCAACCATTAAAATGCATTTTGATTCATGTTCCGCATAAACTTAGCAATATTGAACGCTGGTGACATCTAGTGAAACTGGCAACTTTATATACTCACATCCTGATATCGAAATTATAGAAATTAAGTCACCAAAGAGCAACCTAGTCAACAAACAAACAATTCTAAATCCCTATGTAATGTCTTTCACTATTTGAGGGATTCGGGAGCAGATATTAAAACGCCTTGAATAGTACAACCGCCGTTTATTGACTGACCCATTAGACGAGAGTACATGCCGAAAACATTATAATCTTCTACCGACAAGAACAATACATATATTACACCCTACTTACAAATAAAAAGGAGATCAAAGATAAAACGAGAAGCGTAACGAAGCACAGAAACCTCTCCCTAAAGGTCTATTGACCCTACAGACCGGACAATCCATCCCGAGAACGAAGGATGACCGCCGCTTGAGCGATGGCTGTGCCGCATTTCCTTGGGTCGCGTGACCCCACTGACCCCGTTAGCTCGGCTGCCTATCGGGGTCACGGGACCTCTTCAATTCCCGGATTATCTCGCTCGATGCACGTTGACGGCAGACGATATGGGTACTGCGGAAAGTTTCACGGTCGACTGTCCGCAATTACATTGGTTAGATGTTCACTGTGTTATATTGTATTCTCAGGACCGTGGCGGTCTGTGAGAGAGGCTTATGTTCAGTGATGTTTGACTGTTTTTGTGTTTTTTTTTGGACACATTTTTACACAACGTTCTCTAGTCCCAAACTAAGCAATGCTTGTACTATGGGTACTAGACTGAAAAACATACTTAAACATACTTTTCTTTTGGAAATAAATACATAGTACCTGGAGGACCGAGCTTTGCTCGTTTTTTTTGGTGAATCATGTAGTTTGGAAATAAAAAAAATAAAAAATAAAGAAAATGATCTGGTATAGAAAGAAAAAGTAAAAAAATAAGTGTGTAAATGATCGTGATACGAATCGCACCGTCTGTTTTGGGTCCGCCCGATTACCGACCGAGCTATTGTAACATTTTTTTTTGCGGCGAAATTTACCGTCATATTAGAATGATATTTTCCATTCCCTGAAAACAGGGATAAAAGGACATTTTCTAAAAATGAAACCTAGCGAGATCGATTTTTCGCCCCCGAATCTACGCACATACAAAATTTCATGAAAATCGCTGGAGCCGTTTCCGAGATTCCGATTATTATACATATATAAACACCCAGCCACTAGAAAAACACTATGTTCATCACACAATGTTTTAGTAGTGGGTGGTGGTAACCTGTGGGTTCGATCCCCCCTCTGGCGCAGGAGGCAGGTACGCTACCCACTACGCCATTCGGGTCGTCATTGTTACTGTTAAAACTTACTTGGAAGCTATGGTTGGCGTTGTTTATACTGCACTCTGCAAAAATTGCGTCCTCTAGTTCGAACTCGTCCCACAGTTGACTCTGCAAAAGAAGATAAATTATTTAATGATTAGGGACTTAAACACTCTCACACAATAACTTCTTTGACATCCCCTGAATGATGATGATAACAGAAATTATTGGCTTCTTCATTTGCATGGATTCCTAATCTGATTGTATGATGTCATTCACATCCCGAAGACGTGAAAAATTCACATCCCACGGCGGCGAAAAACTTTTCGTTCTTTTTTCTACAAATTTTAATGTGTAACCTTAAGTGCAGAGATCAGCACTACAAAAATTTGAATGACAGAAAAGGGATTAAAAATTAACTGAAGAAGTCCTTATTCATGTACAAGTATCTGTAATCTTTATCGTTTAAAATTTTATTTAGTACTTTCCAGGGCATAAAAAAGGCGCTTAAATTTTTTATGTTAGAGGGTTGCAAACTTCATCCGCGTACACAGCGTCGTATATAGGTAAAGCTACTAAAGTAGTGTTTAATAAAAAAATTAAAAACAATTAGAAGTATGGACGATCTATTACATAAGTAAATAGATCTTTTACAAAAAAATAATTTTCAAAAAACCCCGAAAAGTCGGTTAATTAGTTTTAGTTTTATTATTCACAAAGAAATCATTTAATTCGCGCAACGAATTCCTTTTTTTGAAGTTCTTCGGGAGAATGGACATCACGAGCCAACATTTAGTGTTAATAAGTTAAAAATCTCCCATGGAGACAAACAAACAGATCTTGTAATCGAATTAATAAAGTCAAAACTCGGCACGTATATACTAGCCATTAAAGCGTGAGCTCTCCAAGATTACGTTATTCAATAGCTTTTCAAATCGGATTCAGCGTAAGGAGTGAAATGGCGTTACACAGTACACGTCTGACGTCATAACGACGCACAACGAAAGCCCCAGATGAATATTGCACGCCTTTTATGTTCGAAGGCGAGCTCCACGTCGCCAGTTTATATGAAATATACCAAAGCCAACGGAACGACTGGATGTGATATTCGAGAGGGAATAATTCACATCAAGAGGTCATAGAAATATATGAATAAAAACAATAATAATCATTTTACAAGCTTTTATTAAGTTTCAACTCTCCTGGTGTATGCAATCGAATTAAGGAAAGTTACATTTGATCCATTTCACGGTGTCCGATTGAGCTGAAAGTTGCCATTCCCATTTGGTTCTCGATGATGATGTACGGAAGCTGGCGCAAGGCCTGCTTTTGATGCGAGGTACACGCGTTACGAGCGAGGCGGAAACCAGACCATACCACGCCGGAGCGGCGTAGGTCAAGCATGAGCGAACGTACGTCTTATGGACGCCGAGCTTGGTCTTTAATGGTAGCTTGATGCCAGAATAGGATCGGCGTGATCGACCAGGGGAACCATGCGCAGCGAGCGGTCAATCCGGCACTCAAGGTACCTCATGGTGCTCTGGTTGGTAATCGCTTGACCTCGCAGCTCAAGTGTGGGTTGGTCTTTGATGCGGCGGATGTATATGGCGGACGTCTTGTCTACGTTGACAGACATCCGCCATTTATCCAGGCGCTCGGGCAGCTGGCGCTGCATGTTCCTCGCCGCAATCGCCGCGACGTGAGAAGACGTGAAGAACGCACTGTCGTCCGCGTACAGGGCCAACAGTACGTCTTCATCCCAGTCGGAGGCGTTTTGGTTCTCGTGACAATGCATGATTAAGTAATTGCCGCCATTTTAAATCCAAAATGGCTGCCGCTGCTGTGGGTATTAAATGAAAGGGCTTCATGAACAAGACAAAGTAAGTAAAGTGAGGTCTCGGACAAGTCTCAATTACTTCTATGCGAACTGTTTAATTATTAAAATCGTTAAAAGGTTATTTTTATTAAAGATAAACTTTTTGTTTTACTTCATTATAAATATTGTTTAATGTTTGAAGGTAAAATATAGATAATAATCTGCAATCTTTATCGCTTAAAATTTGATTTAGTACTTTACAGGGCATAAGAAACGCGCTTCTCTTTTTTATGTTAGAAGGTGGGAAGCGAGCTGGTTGTTCACTTGATGTCAAGTCATAACCGCCAATCATAGATAGACATTTGCAACACCCATAGGTTTGCCATCTTTTAATAAAGTGGACCCCGATTACCTCACTCATCACACTTCCACTTTACGATGATTTTCTGTGAGGTCGTGGTACTTCCCTGGACGGACCTGCTCATTCGTGCAACAGACAAGACTGTTGCGTGGCCCAAAAACAGTTCTCGCGCTATATTAAAAAAATCTATATAACTGTTTCTTGAAAAGACATCAATGTGAAATACCTTTATCAAGGCCACATCCATTGATAGCAGTTCCATTTTGCTGTGTCCGATATTGCACCGGCAGTAGGTAGGTATGTTATAACAATACGAACAGGTACGGAAAATATATGGCATTATTATAACCGTACCAAAACGAATCGTGCCGTGCCAATCTAAGTCTGCACTCGAGGGGATTTAAATACTTGAGAGCGCAGGAGTATATGTCTACGTATATTATTTCACAACCCACGTAGCGTAAAATAACCTCTGTTTTACAAATATCTATGCAATATAGCTTTTATGAATATGGCTTGGTGAGCTATTGACTTGGGCGACGGTCTTCTGTGAGGTTGTGGTAGTTACCCGGACGGACCTGCCCATTCGCGCAACGGTGAACACTGTTGCCTGGGGCCACGACAGTTGCCTACCACAGAGAAACACAACTACCCAGTTAAAGTTATTCAATTTCTGCGATATTCTCATCGCTTCTTAATATGTCTGCCGAATTCCAAACTCTCCGAACATCTGGAAGTGTATTTTATCGGTGTGTATTTCTTCGACTTGTGGTCGTCGTACAATGAATATAGATGTTGGACAATAATTTTAGTGAGTAAAGAATTCTAAAAGCTTAAATTTTATTACTTTATTCCACTGAGATTCGAACCTGTTATATATGTCATAAGGTCAACAATGATTTCTCTTAAACTGAGTTTTGTTGACTCCGTGGCGTTTGTTGTGGGTTTGATTCTAACATGGGACAACTATTTGTGTGGCCCACAAATAATTGTTTCGGCTCTGGGTGTTTGTCCACGTGAAAATTATGTATGTAAAATGTCCGTTCAGCACAGGATAAAGTTATCGTACTGTAAGGGCAATGTTTAAAAAATATATGAACCGGTAAACATTAACCAAATCTATATAGAAGAAAGCACTAAGAACTACGTGATATATGAACATTTACCGTATACCGGACTTTTATAAATTGCGGGGCGCATAGTCGACGCTGTTCGAAATTGATATGAGAGAGCATTGGGAATTCCCCCGTTTAATGAAAATATCTCGAGGGCATCCATCGACTGGACGCCTTGTTATTGGCAGCTGTAATAAACAGCTTGGGGCGCTCAACTCGATTTCCAGTGACAAAACTTGCACCTGCCAACGTCCACCTATCTAAAGACGTAATGGCAAATCGAACAGGCCTTATGATGGGTTTTTAGCTGTTTTATTTTGTAGAATCATTATAATTTTTAATAAAAAAACCGACTTCAAACCGGAAACTAAAAAACATTGTTAATACCTATAACATTTGAGGATTGCCCACGATTTCTCTGAGACGCCATCATCAGATCCGGGTTTCCTTCAGATCATGGTAGCACCCTTGGGATGTCTCCTTTCCAACAAAAAAAGAATCATCAAAATCGGTTCGTAAACGACGAAGTTATCCGCGAACACATAAAAAAAAATAAAAATATATACGGTCGAATTGAGAAACCTCATTCTTTTTTGAAGTCGGTCAAAAGGAGGCAAACGACCAAGTGGTTCACCTGATGGTAAGCGATCACTGCCCATGGACACTTGCAACATCGGTAAATCACAATTGTAAGCCTTCAAGGTAGGAGTAGGCTCTCTTCTTGAAGGCCCCTAAGTTCGTATCGATCCAGAAGTACCGCTGGCGACAATTCGTTCCACAAAGTAGTTTATCACTGACCTTATAAATTTGTAAATATAACAAATTGAAAATGTTAAGTAGAAGTTAACATGTTTCCCATTGGCTTCTTTTGGACTTAAATTAAATAAATTTTATTACGTTGAGCAGCTATTATTCGAATCCATTAGTTTATTAAAGTGTAAGTGCAATATAATTAATTTACCAAGCTAATGAAAACGAATGTGTTACGGTAACGGTATTCGTAGAATAGATGTGATTAATTTAATTTCATTACTTGTTCAAATTGAATAGTGGATAATAAAACGAACCCAACGGAATTATTCTGTGAAAAGCAAAACAGTAAAGCCAAAAAAGTTGAGTATGAAAATTCCACGCATAAAAGGCATAGATGAGTGTTACCCGCACCCTTAAAAATTTAGGGGCCGCTGGTCTAGACTTGCAGCATCAAATTTCATTACTTTATAATCTACTTATATGTACGTGTACATATATCATCAACAAAACCCGAGATTTGCGATTTTTCAATGACCCCAAGCTGACCTTTGGTCCGCTCATAACATTTTCAAAGCCCCCATACTAAGGTTAACCCTCTTCAAATTAGCGTTGTGTAAGCTTTGAAATTGTTTTTGCTCTGCGGGGACGCGTTTCAAAGAGTGACTTGCAAAACTCCGTGTTTTTTATTCTGAACTAGCCTCCCGCCCCGGCCTCGCACGGGTGCAATGTATTATAATACATATAAACCTTCCTCTTGAATCACTGTATCTACTAAAAAAAAAATCGCATCAAGATCTGTTGCGTAGTTTTAAATCTAAGCACACATAGGGACAGACAGACAGCGGGACGAATTTGTTTTATACTACGTAGTGATAATGTAGAACTTTCTTGTAAGAAAAAACAAAATCGCTTTCTTGTTTACTAACTTTAAAGTTATCAATAAATTTCAACTTTACAACTCACTTTTTTAGCTGTGGTGGGCCATGCAGCAGCTTTGGCTGTTGCAGAAATGGGCAGGCTTGTTCGGGGAGTTACCACGGCCTTACAGAAGACCGGCGTAAAGTGGGAGTATGATTTTTTAGCGTTTCGGTGAGTGAGGTAGCCGGGGCCCACTTATTTTAAGGTTGTCAACGCATCTGCAAGCACTCGGGTGTTGTGGATATCCTTGGGCGGCGGTAATCATTTTAACATGTTTTTAGTAAATAATGCATTAGTATTTTGTTAATTAAGCTTTTAATTAAGTTTTGCCATGTTTCTCTATTTACCTTTTTTAAATCAACTTTTTTGAACATGTGTCTTTTTTGAACTTATTATTACCAATCATTATTACCAATCAACCGACAAATAAGAAGCGGAGGTACGACAGAGCCACATGACAAGTAGTGAAAAATGAGATTTTGTATAAAATATTACATACATTTTGATGGAGGTAGGGCCACGCAGCAGCCTCGGCTGTTGCACGAATGGGCAGGCCCGTCCGGGTAAGTACCACCACCTCACAGAAGACCAGCGTAAAGTAGAAGTATGACAAATACTTTCGCGTTTCGTCTGGTGAGTGAGGTAGCCGGAGCCCAATTTTCAAAAGGTTATCAACGCATCTGTAACCCTCGAGTGTAGCAGATGTCCATGGGCGGCGGTATTCATTTACCATCAGGTGAACCGTCTGCTCGTTTGGCAACTTTTCACATAAAAAAAAAACATATAAATATACACAATGTAAGATCAGTCGTTTAATCTTCGTAATAGAACCATTTAAAAAGATGTAAAGTAAGTTTTCAAATAAGAACTTCACAGCAGACATTCCCGACGGTCCCATCCTGTAGTATCGCTTAAAAAGCGCCCCTCCAAGTAAGAAATAGAAAAAAAAAACTTGAATAGAAGACCGCGCACAATGGAGCGAAGCGACGTCGCGGCATAAGAGGTCATTTCTAACAATGAGAACTAATTTTCAGCGCCGGCATCTCGGTTTCTGGGTCGGATGCCCGCCAGCGCTGCACCCACACGATGTATACAACACCTACGGCCAAAAATACAAATCAGAACAAACCGATACGAGTCAAGGTCAATTGCGACTTCAAATTATTCGCATACGACTGATCAAATCTACATTAGAACTATTTTTTTAGTATTATTTATGTAGATGCGTTGAAAACCTTTTGAAAATTGCGCTCCGGCCACCTCACTCACCAGACGAAACGCGAAAGTATTATACATCCACTTTATGCCAGTCTTCTGTGAGGTCGTGGTACTTACCCGGACGAGCCTGCCCAAGTTTGCCACTTTCTCACATTAAAAAAAATTATAAAACCACACTTTGGATCCTAAAAGATGGAAGGAATCTAGAAAGAATCAACTAAATAATGGTATTTGCCTATACTTATTTTATTACAATATACCGCGATATAACAACTCTATTAAATCGCAAATAACTTACTTTTGTATGAAATGTAAACATACAGGCGGAGGGTAAACCAAGGAAGAAGAAGGAAGGAAGAAGGTAAACCAAGGGAGGGTATATTACTTTTGAATTGAATAAAGGACAAAGTTTGTATGGAATGCACAGACATAAGAGCAACAGCCTGGTCGCTGGCCAATTTTCACACAAAAAAGGTTAAAAAAAATACACAACTAATACTACTCGCTAGCTACCTCCGATAACCTCTTTGGGATAAAACGACCCACAGCCATTTTAAAACACACACCGTTTACTTAAGATTTCATTCCCGACATAAAAAGGAAAGCTTGTAAGATTCCTTGAGATGGTAACGTATGAAAAAATAAACAAAATAATCATAAATAAACATTTATTAAAAAACTCATCTGTTTAAAAATTGTTTCAGAAATTACTATTACCACGTCTCAAAATACAGTCACAGTTCTTTAAAATCATATAACTTAAACCATTTTATTAATAACTTTATATGTAGCTTTTCTTTAAACTTTTGTTATTAAGTCTTATATGATTAATGGTTCGTTAAATATATTTTTTAAAATTAAATTCGTAAATTATGTTTACGAATTTGATTATCAAATTTAACAAAGCTAAACGAGCCATTGTTCCATAACATGTTTTTGTTTATGAAAACAATTAAGAAAGTGAACAAAATTAAACTCGATAAAAGCGTCAGCTAAAAATGAAAGCATAATTAAAGATCTTGCAAAAGCCCTCATTAGGGTACTATTCATTAAAATTAGGCTGTTAGGGGACGTGTAATACAAGTCTGGTATTAATTTTGAAGCAAATTAAAGCCTACGAGAATTGTTAGTTTAACATCACGCTACGACCTATGGGGGCGAAGCAAAAAACGTTTCTTGGATGAAAGCGCTAGGAACAGCTAGTCATAGATATAGTGCATGTTAGATGTATCCAAGTGCATATGTGTGTCCATCTGTC